ATTAGCTTTTATAAATATGACCATAGTGATTATATTCCTAAGTTTAGAAGCTACGATAAAATCTATATATCCTCGAGAAGATTATTATTAAAAATATTTAATTCGATAATTAAGTACAGTCCAATATGACTGTGTGAAATGATATAATTAAACTCATAAAGTGTTTGCTTTATAAGTTTAATAAATATATTTTTTTATTATTGACGTGGTATAAACATAAGAAACAAAATAATTAGCAGCTTTTCGTGAAAGTATTCTACTAGTGGAATTGGTTTAATAAATAGTAATATTTAAGGAAAATGTTTCTCAATTAATAGATACTAACATTATAAACTTTAATTTGTATATGCATAAATATATTTTTAATATATCTTTTTTATTATTATTTACTTTTTTAACTGTGATTAATTATTTTTAGCAATAAGTACTCATATCATTGAGTTAATGGATCTAAATGGCACAGGATTGTAACTTTAGGTAGTCTCTTAGAATCTCTATATTTACTAGTGGGCAGCGAAAAACTGATATGACGATTATAATTATTAAAAATAAAATATTACGGTTACCGCTTTATCATACAGCAAGCCATGCAATAAATGCACCCCTAATGCTTTGAAAACAAAAAAATATAGATAGATAGATAGATAGATACTCTTTATTGTTTCCTCCAAAAGATTACAATAGTAAACTTATTATAAATATAAATAATTACAAGAAATAATCACAATGAGAAAACAATGGGCGACCTTATCGCTAAGAGCGATCTCTTCCAGGCAACCTTTGGATGGAGAGGAGTAATTATAAACAGTTTGGTGGGAGGCACGATGAAAAATTTTGTTAGTTCTAAATATGGGAGATGTGATACATATAATAATATAAATATTATCCCTACTCATTATTATATTTATATACATACATATACATATATATATATATATACATACACACATATACACATATACATATATACACATATATACATACCATACACATACAAATACATATACATACATGGACATAAACGCCTACACAAATACATAAAAATATATAAATACTGTTCACGAAAAGTATGCAAGTAATAAGTATGCTAACCAGACATATAAACACATTAAGAAGATGACAACTTGCTCAAATAATAGTTCTTCAGTTTTGTTTTAAAACCAGCCGTACATTTTATATTTCGTAAGGAAACTGGTAAAGCATTCCAAAGCCGTACAGCTTGCACCGTAAATGATTTGTCATAAAAATTAGAGAAATGTACCGGAATCTTCAGCTGAAGGCCCCCAGAAGACCTAAGATTAAAAGAATTGACGGTATGCAAGAATTCAAACCGCTCCTTCAGATAGTGAGGGGAAGAAGAGTTGAAAAGGGCATTGTGGAGCAGTGAAAGAATATGAGTATTCCGGCGAAAACGAATAGGAAGCCACTTGAGCTTAGTGCGAAACTCGGAAATGTGATCATATTTTCTAAGACCGAAAATAAACCTGATAAAAACATTTTGAAGACGCTCAAGTTTGTTAAGCTGGTCTTCCGTAAGATCCAGATAACAAGTATCGGCATAATCAAGAATTGGAAGTAAAAGAGATTGGGATAGCGCAATTTTGGTAGCAGTAGGAAGGAAATTACGCAGTCTACGAAGTGAGCATACAGATCCGAAAACTTTCCTGCTGACAGATTCTATTTGTGGCCGCCAAGTAAGGGAACTATCTATAATTATACCTAGATCTTTCACTGATGCACTGAAGGGGATAGCCACATTACCAAAATTTATAGGTGCCAGTGTTGAATGATCGACCTTTTGTATTAACTTAGAACTACCTACTAGAACTGCCTGAGACTTGGAAGGATTTATTTTCAGTCCAAAAGCCTTACTCCAATCACTTATATGTTTAAGATCCTTGTTTGTTAAAGCGATAGCATCCTTTAAATTATCTATAGAGGCCTGAGTATAAATTTGTAAATCGTCTGCATATAGATGGTAGAGAGAAGTTAGTTGGTCAGATATTGAGTCAATAAGAACTGAAAAAAGGAGAGGAGACAAGACGCCACCTTGCGGAACGCCAGCAAACGTATCGCACCAAGATGAATATGTATCACCTATTCGTACTCGCTGCCGACGTCCAAACAAGTAGTCACGAATCCATTCAACTACAGGCGGAGATACGTTAAGAGAGCGTAACAGTTCTAGCAGGATATCAAAGTCAACGGTATTGAACGCATTGCTAAAATCTAGGAGCGTGAGAATGGTCAGTTGGCCGTGTTCCATACCCGATCGAATATCATCAGTAATCTTGACTAGTGCTGTTACTGTGCTATGACCGGGTCGGTAGCCAGACTGATAAGGGTTCAATAGGTTGTTTTCAGTAAAAAATTTTGTCAATTGAGTATGAATAAGGCGTTCAAGCACTTTAGAAAGGAATGGTAGGATTGAGATAGGTCGCAAATCACAGAAAGAATGAGGATTGTTCTTTTTTGGAATGGGGATAATTTGTGCTTCTTTCCAACACTTTGGAAAGGTACAAGTTTCAATGGAGCGGTTTAGGATAAAGCAAATTATAGACAATATTTCATCAAGAATCGGAATGATCATCTTACGACTGATGCAATCGCTACCTACTGCATCAGACGTTATAGAAATAATGCTCTTCTTAACGTCACACTCTGTAAATTGATTAAAAACAAATGGTGAATAGTCTGGAGTTGGAAGCGAGGAAAGATCTGATAATGTTTTAGTTTTATTATTAACATCAATAACAGGAGATGTTGAAAAGTGCTGGTTAAGAGAGTTAACATCTAAATTAGAAGATATGCTATCCTGATGGATCTTGCCAACTCCTAATGACTTGAGAAATTTCCAAACTTTACCGGGATCACGCTCTGAGATCGAGTCATGAATGTAGCGTCGTTGTGCATCCCTACACACTCTATTGCAGCGATTCCGATGTTTGAGATACTTAGCCTTATTTTCAACACTGGGACGATACTTGTAACGAGCTTTTGCGGCATCCCTTCCATGCATCAATGTCCTAATTTTATCATTAATCCATGGGGCAGGTGCGTGCTTAATTTTGATAGCTTTGATGGGTGCATGCACATCATATAATTGAGTAATCAATTTGTTAAATTGTACAACCTGTTCATCCACGGACATTGCCTCTCTAACAGGTGTCCAATCTATTGCTTTCGCATCATTGCGCAGTCCCTCCACGTTCATACTGCCAAAACTACGCTGGAAAAGAGTTTTGCGTTTTGCTTTTGGGGGACGAATTTTGTAAGATAGATAAATCAAATCATGATAAGAAAAGGAGTCCGCTGCACACTGACCATGCTTCACAACATTTTGTGGGGATGAGATTATAATTAAATCGAGAAGTGAAGGTGTAGCATTGGGAAAATGGTGTGTCGCAGATAACGGGAGTATATTTAAATTGCAAGCTTTTACAGTTGAAATAAGAGTGGAAGCACGTGTATCATTCTTTAGGAGACAAGTATTAAAATCGCCCATTATGATTGTGTGATTATAGGAAGGAGTAAGATTTTCAAGAATTTTTTCAAAGGACGAGAAATAATCAATGCGCATGGAAGGACTATAGTAGACTCCGAGTAGTAATTTTGTATGGGAGAGGGAGATTTCAATAAAAAGATGTTCACCAGCATTGTTTGGAGGTGGCTGTGCAGATATATTGACCACAGAGTAAGTAAATTGAGTACGAAGGTAAATAGCTACACCACCACCACCACTGCTAGTTCGATCATTTCGAATAAGTTGAAACCCCGGGAGGGAATAAGAAGTACAAGAGAGGCATGGTTTTAACCAAGATTCGGAGACTAATATAGCGTGGATGTTGTGTTGATCAAGAGTAGTAATCATATCAGAGTAATGTGCCGGAATACTTTGGGCGTTAATGTGGATAATGTTGAAATTGTTAGCTAGATCTGTGAACAGCCCAGCCAAAGAATCCGATAGACATGGCAAACTGGAGAAACTGTTGTTGGTGTTACAGGATGAATCGTGTGTAGAAACAGAGAAGTAGTCATCATTATCCGAGTCCGCGTCACTACTGCAAAACAGATTGAGCATACTTTTAAAAAAAAAATCCTAAAAAATAGTATACAATACAAAAATATAAATAAATAAATATAATAATATATATATATATATATATATATATATATAAATATAATAATATATATATATATATATATATATATACAAAATTTAAAATATTGTGAATATTATGAGTACGTCAAGTACATTAGTACTCCACCTGCCGGTTGTTAGGAAAGAAAACTAATAATTACAATTTCACTTAATGACCTGTACCTAGATTCGGTGAGTGAGTCCGTTAATACTTAGGGGTATCTATCCGTTTAAAAATTAAGAAAAAATTAATAAAATAAAAGAAAGTAACAATAATATAGTAACTGTACAATCACATTTTCAGCAACTATAACTTAGAGAAACGGACAGAAAATAAATTATAACAGCTACAGCTGTATTTGCGTGGACGATTCGATTTATAGGTTAGAAATAATAATTATTATAAGAGTACTATAAAATGAAAAACAAAACCAATATCTATATATATACACATACACACACATATATATATATATATATATATATATATATATATACACACACATACATGCATACACATACACACATACATACATATACATATACACATACATACATACAGTATAAAAAAAAATAACATGGCATTCTTCATACTATTACATAGTTAATAATTAAAAATTAAAATATATATACATATATACACACACACAAACATATATACATATATATACACATACACATATATACACATATATATACATACATACATATATATACACATACATATACACACATATATACACATACATATATACACATACACACACATATATACATACATACACACACATACATACACACACACATACATACGCATATACACACATACATAAACATATATATATATAGTACTCGGCATTTCCTTCTAAGCTTGTCAATCAATGTCGATATCGTCTGTGCCGATATAATAATGAGCATAAATAAGTAAATGTAAATAAGCGATTTATCTATTCAAAATTTAAAGACAGACTATACAATTTTTTACGAGTTTCACAATATATTATCTGTGCATAAATTGTAAAGTTATATATCTAAGATAATAAGATATTATCTGATAGCTGACAATTGACATTTATAGATTCAGAATATGTAAGGTAGAATAAGATAATCAACTTACCTTATTTAAAAAATTTAAATCACGGGGTACCCCCTTTTTTTATATAAGTCTGTGCCATCACTGCTTAATTATTAATAGTAAATAGTGGGTAAAAGTATATGATTACTGATTATTATATTATTACTGATTATTTGATTGAAATAAATAAAAAAAAATGGGTAATGCTATTAATGTAAGGACTACAAACTCACTCACCGACCCGCAAAAATGAAATATCTCTTATTAACACTTATTTCCTGGTTGCTTGAACTCGTTTCGTTCTGCTGACGCCGATATCTGTTTTTGCCGCAACTGGAACTGGTTTTTGGGGTTCTGGTACCACAATCCTACCCAGTTCAGCCATGCTACTGATACGGTGCCGCACTCCGTCGGATCCAAGGACGTGAATGAACCCATCACGCGTCCAACACTTTCTGACACCAAAGCGTTGTCTGGCCGCTATAAATGTATCATGCCTAGTTTTTGTCAAAAACTCAGATAAGGAAATATTGGTGCCTTTCAATTTTGTTTTATTGGACCAGATCCTGTCGCGAATATTGATATCACGAAATTTCACCAAAAGTGGACGTGCTTTCTTACTAGTTGTTATACGTCCCATCCTGTGACACCGGCTAATATGTTCCGTTGAAAACTCCAATTTCATTTGATCACCAACAACACCACATACCAACGAGACGACGTCCTCTTGATCACTCTCTGAGACGCCATGAAGCAACAAAATTTTCCGTCGGCTACGCATTTCCTGCAAATCAACTTCCTTAGCCAGCAAGTCAACTTGGTGTTGCAAAGACTGCAGACTCTCCAGTGTCATCTGTTTAAAGACAGCGAAGTCAGAAGCGATGTTCGCTGCCCCGGGGCTCGAAAGGGTTGCCTTCTGTAGTCGTCCCTCGAACTCCTGCATCCTTTTGGTGAATTCCTCTCTGGTTTCTTGTAAGCTCAGGTTTTCCATCGGCATTCTTGTAATTATAGTAGAAGTAAAAGCGAAAGTTTTATCCGGCAAGTGAAGTGTGTTGTTTATAGCTTAGATAATTTCATAAAGTTACAATTTTGAGGTCTTAATCTATTTTTAAAGCAAAATTTAACTTGGAGCAGTTTTGAATAGTGTTCGCGCAACTACCTCCAACCGGAAAAAAAAAAAAAAATATATATATATATACAATTATCAAGAATAATTTATAATTCAATACAAACATAAAAGTAATAACTTTTATATTTGTATTGAATTATTGAATTTTTTTTGTTAGATTAGTATAAAATTAATGCAATGCTTTGCGGTGCATAAAAGCCTAGTTAAATCTATTTTTATTATTAACGCTTCCGTTTAAAAAGAAGGAAAACATCGATATGTCTTTATAATTGACCAATTAAATAGATAAACTACATTTATACCTTTGCTACGTAGAAGTGCCGGGCAAAATATCTCTTGCATCCTCTGATACATTTCACATTGGCACTGATATATAGCACATAATAAGATTATACATATTCAGTTATTGAAAAAAATAAGTTATGACAACTACCTATTCTAATCTCTAAACAATTTATTCCGAGTAATATTACAAATGTGAATAATTTTTGCGTCTTAACAACTCAACCAATAGTCTTGAAATTTAGATAGTGACTTGGAATAGAGACTATTTCTTATTTGAGTTATTCGAACAAAGTCACAACAGATGTTCATAAAAATAAGTAAAATAATCTCTTCTAATTTGTTTATAAATATTGTCATATAAAATGGAAAGAAGTGGAAGACAACGTAATGTTTATGAACTAGTACTAGTTAACTAAAATATTTTTTATTAAGTTGATAGTTTTGTACTAAACATCTCTTTAGGTATACGCATAAAAAATGTTTTTGGGTTTAATAAATAAAAATAGATTTTACTCTTAAAAAATAAAATTATTTATGTTTTCATTCATTATGTATTTTATTACATAGTCTTATATTAATTATACTTTTTATAACTACAAAATTTTTAACATTATTTTCTTTTTATAAATTACAAATCAGTTCGATTTTTTTTAAGCAAGACAAAAACATAAGAAGCAGAAATTCTATAATTGTAATAAAAGTACATCAATACAAAAAATGTTTTCATAATTTACAGAAACTACAAAAAAAAATAGATTATGTTCATGGTGTCAAAGAAATAGTATCATTAAATATTATCACTTTTTGCTAAACCCCTATAATTTAAAGGACACTCAAATTCCAAAAGATTACTTCCGATCACGCACTCTTACCTTGCAACCACACAAATTATTAGTTACCATTATTTTGCCACTACGTAGCAAATTTATGTCACGAAGAATTGGGACCTCCTGCGTTCAATAGTAATCGTCAATTTGTCTCAATACGGATATATTTAAAATAAGATGTCACCTTGTGTGGCCATATACCTCCTGGAATCACACCTTCCTGTATCACGCAGTGCGCCGGACATAAGTTTTGACACCATTACAGAAAAATAGAAGATAAAAATAATCAGGGCTTGACCACAATGAAGATCTAACGTCACTGTGTAATCTATCGACACTATTTATTCCATTTTGCACCTTATTCACATGTTAAATAGATCCTTATACGGTAAACGGTCCTCCAAGTATTTGTATTTGCAACAAAAACAATTTATCATCCCATCCCCAAACAACCTTTTGTACTATCTGATCTACTTACTTCTGTTTTTTGCTTCGCATTGTTTCTTGGGAAATAATGGTGGTCGAGTTTGACTTTTTGTTTTAAAACCGAGATGTAGATGGGATTGCAAATAAATATAGCGAGAAACACTCACTAGGTGGTTCGGGTATTCGTTATCTTGACGTAAGCCGATGGTCAAGAGATTAGACGTGTTAAATTCAAGATATGAATACACATTTTCAATTTTAGCGGATTAAAATAACGGAGAGAATTAAACGCCAACTTTATACCGTCTACATAATTGCAAAATAGTTATTCTTATTCGGCGGTATTTCCCTATTACTTCCTTTCGATTTCAACCACGATTAAAACCGATATCATTAACGAAATCGAAACCTACGATGCGTTTAGCTGAATGTCCTGTGTACAATGGGCATGCACAAAAGCCGTCCAGACCACACTATAAAAGCAATCCAATAAAAAGTAAAATCAGAGTAGAGGAAGTGCATGGCGGGCGGAAATGCAAACTCGCATTGTGCGAAACTTGCACGTGTTCCGGAATGTTTTGTGTACTCCCCTGCAATCGTTGTGCTAAAAAGGTAGGTATTGCAAAAGCCTTCTCGACCTGGCTGTTTCACATTATGCCGACTTTCAAAGTTGCCTTAGCGACAGTGCATTCTATTACAATATTAACGTATTTTAAATCTTCGTTTTCTATAATATAATTCTATAAATTCTATATATATTCTCTAATATAATTTATAAGTAACATTATTTTATTATATTATTCATATCAGCAAAAGCAAATATTTTTTTTATTTATTCATTTATTATAATTATGTCATTATAATACATAATAATAACAAGTTGCTCCATAAGCATATATAATGTTCTTAAATTTGGTTATTTCGGTATGTTGTTTCAATAATAGACGTTTCTATGATATTTCACCGGCGTGCTGAATTCCCTCTAAAAGTGTTGTGAGAAAAATTAGAAACAATTGAAATAAATAATAATCCATACTCTTAGATTAAGACTATATTAAATTATCAAACATGTCTCTTTGTTTCTTTTTTCTGTAATATATTTGACGCATTTATTATTTTGCTATTTGTATTCGACTTGTATTAAACAATTGTTTTAAATAAATTTGTAACGGATTTAGTGCAAAATTTAAAAAAGCCTATAATCATTATTCGAAAAAATTACTATGCAGTTTTATCCTACTATGCTTATACCTGAGCAAACGTGCAATTTTAAACTGACCAGTCTGCATCAACCACAAAGATACCTCAGAATAATAGATACCTACCTACATTCAAGGCGATATATCATGATGCATCTTCTATTACATTTTTTTCTTGTGCGTTAAACATGTAAGAATCTTACTGCGTATAGAGATTCAATAAAGGAAATAAAATACGAAATTTAGGCAAAAAATCTGTCGGCCGCTCAGCGGGGTATGTTTGTGGCTTTGTCGCGCCCACTACTACAAAAGGCAAATAAGAGAACAGTGCCTATGTGGTATGGTGGAAAAAATATTATTTAAATGCATTCCTATTGATGTTTAAAAGCCGTAGAGAAACGAGCATTGTTCGTGGGTATATGTGGTGGCGAAATTAGATTCGTATTATATCCAACGACCAAGTGCATGTCGAGGAATTCGCAGTTCAAAACCGTTAAAATCAATAAACATTTTTGGTCACGGTTAGTATTATATGTACGATGTTAATGATATCATATTACATCAGTTCTTGTACTCCAACAAATTAACACTACCATTCTATAACTAGACTAAAATAAATTAATAGAATTTTCCTGTCAAATCAACTAATTAATCGGATAATTTTTTATTGTTTATATACTACTACAATACTGATAATTCTGTCGTCATTATCATTTAAATCTGTTGTCGACTGCTCCTCTTCTCTCTACATTTTGTAATAAAATACGATCTTAAACCCTCTACATCTATAATAATTATATTAAAGTTGTTGCATTTTGTTACTAAATTAAGATATCTAGTTATATATCGGTACTTCAATAGTTTTCTTTTAAACTATAATATTAAAACTTCAAAAAGTTTCAATAGAATCAGGACTCTTAATATTGTCGGCGAATCAAAGTAAACTCAATACATGACTAATATTTGAAGAGCTTCTCTATATGTACTGTTTACTTAATATGAAAACCATGTCTCCCTTGTTTCGTTCAGTTCCTCATAAGCTGTGTCTTGTTTACTCCGCAGAGGCATTATTACTTTTTTTTTAATTTTTTCCGTTCACCGCTTGTGGACCCGTAGCCGAATGTAATTCGACCTGATCATATCTGCACACTTTTTGTCCTTGTGGTCAGAGACAGCTGTCCAATAAAGCGCCATGTTTGGTGCATTGTTTATAGTCTAGCGCAGTAATGTGACAATCTGGCAGATTTGGCCCGGCATGTGGGCTTGTTATAATTTTTTCGAAGTCAACCAAGAAAGCGCTTGTACAACGACTAATTGAGTGGATCAATATTTGGAAGTTGAGTAGTATCATCATTGAAAGGACCTGAGGACCTGACACAGAGTATAAATATTAGACTTTGAAAATAAAACAAAAAATAAATAAAAAACTAATCAGTCTTAAAGCAGTAAAAAGCATAGTGTTAAACGATTCTGAACAAAAAAACAATGAATCTTATGAATAAAATCTTAATTAGCGGCCGAAAATAAAGGTTTAGAAAAGCAAACACGTAGATTAAAAATAAACAGGTCCGAAAAAGAGGCGTGCTGATTAATTTTGTGGGCGCGCCCGGTGCACCCTTACAATGTGAAATCGAATTTGGCGATGCACATTGTCAAAATTGACGCGAGCATCACGCTATTAAAAGGGTGACCAAATATATATAATCACGAAGGACTTGTAACTGTTGAAACTTAATATTAGTATAGTTCCATAAATAAAATAGTACCTAATGATTTCAATTTATAAAATTAATATTTTTTCTCTAGCAATGAATTATTCGTAAACGAGAAAGTTGACCTTTCGGTTTCAATATTAAAACTTCTTACATCGCCTTCTTATTTAATTTATAAATTATAAATAAATTACCAGTAAATGTCTATTAAAATAATAATATCAATAAGCCTATTAAAAAACATAAGACCATAATAATAATATTTATTAATACAGTATCTAAAATAAATATTATTATTATTTGTATAAAGCTATTAGTGAAAATTAAGTTTTTGAAGAGTTCAAGAATACTTCGATTTCTTACAGTTATTTATATTCTATGATATCTGATTGAAATATAGTTATAGTATCAAATATTTGCACAAAATGATAACGCATCAATCTCTCCCATCAATTTTTAACCGACTTTAAAAAGCTTCGGTTATATTTTTTTACGTTTTTTACCTCACAACTCCGCCAATTCTAAACGGATTTGAATTTTTTTTTTTTTTTTTTCTGAAATGATATATTTACAGATTAGTCTCATAGAAATTTTATCAAATCGATTCAGTAATTTAATTTTTAGACTAAAATAACCTGTTTGTCAATTGACGTCGTTGTTTTTTTTTTTTGTGGGACTCAAGCTTTAATTATATAGTAAGAATAATTTATATATTTTATTAAATATATGAATTTTCTGAAAACATATATAAGTAAATATAAAATTTTATTATTTGACACAATCATGGTTACCCTAACGTTTAACTGTTCAAAATCGCGTTATTAATATTTATAGTTACAGTTAAAACAGTTTTAAGCGGCAAGTTTTTTTA